AATTACCCAAGCCAAATGTACATCATGTATTTCTCATTGTTTAGGCAGTCATACCTAGATGCACATGGTTGCCTTTACATACCTTTAACTAAGGAATCATAGATGTGTACATAATGATGCCTTAGATATAATGTATAAAATTTTTCTGGCATCTTTTCTGGAATTTTTATTTTTTTTAAGAACACGGACTTACAGATTAAGGAGTAACATTATTTTCATTTAATCACGTTTTAGATTCAGTTTTAGAGTTGATATACACTCACCATGTATTTTTCTTTGACCCACTTAAAATGTATTCTTAAATGCGTTTAGGCTATACTCAGACTAAAGGAAAAAAAGCCACATAGAGCATAAAAATATTCCTCTTGAAATGTTATTTTTATTTTCTTTCTAAAGGTATAAAGCAGGATAATAAGTGACAATTTTAGCAGACAAATGACAAATGACAGCAATGAATTGCCACATATACCATCCACTGGTAACTGAAGTTTATTTGGGAAATATGAGAAAATGGAAAAGATAGAAATCTTTGCAGCTGTGATAAATTCCTTTTTGGAAACAAGAACAGTACAAGAAATATCACATCACATCATGAATTGTTTTCCTGACTTAACAGTACTGTTGAGAGTGAAGGAAATTGCCTAGAGGACCTATTCCTTGAGGTCAATGGTTTCCAATAGAATAAGTTTACAAACTCTCCTAATTTGGAAGCAATGATCTCTAATTCCTAATTCATCCCCAGGTCCACACTATGTTCATCTGGAAAACATTTACTTATTTCTGAGGAGATTCCAGAATGAGGAAATCCCTGGGTCCACTATCTGTCACTCATAAAAGGTCAAATACTTTGACCAACTAAAACATTCAATTTCTGAGACATATGGAAGAAATAAGTGACCTGAAGGAGCTCTGATAACTTCAGGTTAGATGCACCTCTAAAACAGAAAAGTGTGTTCTCTCCTTGGACCCAATGTTTTCACAAGGCCTAAGGCTTCTCAGAAAATAAGGAAAGTGTTAAAAATATTTCAAAGAAATGTACTAGTTTTGATTGTCTGCAGGTATGTGTAAAATGTAGTTGTCACAATTTAGCTTTAAATGATCACAGAGCATTAACTGGAATTAAAGAAATGATAATAAGCATTAAGATCTAAATAAACCTATGATATCTAAGGTAAAAATTATATTAAATGATGTGACTTTTAGTTAACTATTATTTTTCAGCAGAATTTCTCTTTGCTGATTATCTTCCAAAATCCAGGTAACAAGATACTGTAATCTTTCAATGAAAACGAATTTAAAACTGTCATTATATGTTTATTACCTTAAGGTTGTGTGGTATAAGATTATTAGAGCCACAGTCATTAGCTTCTCTTCCTAGGCAATATTTCAGACCCCTGTGAAAAATTAATAGTTGCCTTTGAAGGGAGGCTAATGAAGTCAAGAGTGTCATCTATGGCATTGTCCCAAACTGCCATTCTATATATACTTCCTTTTTCCCAGATACAGTACTTATGATTTTCTGACAACTGTTAGGAAGCTTTATCTGCTCACCCTCCCCAATAAAGTATTTTTTATTATGTAAAAACCACTGTATTTTTGAAATGAGGAAGAAATACTACAGAACACAGTACATAGCTGCTGACATTCTGTAATATGCCAAGTTGAAACAATAGCATACTAACTAGTTTTAATCCTAGCAATCAAGACAAACAAATTGCATTACGTTTGTAAGTCTAGGCTCTGGTCTTGATTTGTCATCTTATAACCCAATGCTGTAGGTCAAATAGGGTCATAAATAACATAGCTTACTTCAAACAACATCACTCTTGGGAAGTAATTTAAAACACATGGTTTATTAGTACTCTAGATTTAGCATCTTCTTCATAGGAAAGACAACTCGTGACACTAGAATTCCCTGTGAATTAAATGAGGAAAAAAAACAAAACTGAGTTTCAGAAACTATAACTACAGAATTTGGTTGTTCTTAATCCTACTGGCTTTTTTTCTTAGACCACTTAAATATTACACAGGTAGTAAGAGATGATGCATCTTTTGAGATTATGCTAGAAAGCTGTAGACTGAGATTTCAGAAAGCCAGGTTTTGTTTGTACATATCTTTAGCAATCAGTCTAAGATGACACACTCAGAGCACTTAACTCATCTTTGAGATGTTTTTGAGTTGTGTATAATTCCCAGATTGCCAAGTGAAAATAAAGCAAACATTTGAAGGTGTCTTTAAAATAGGCACTTTAGATAACCAATTTACAGTTCATCACCCCTCCCACCATAATATTCCTTTTATAGTTTAATAACAGGAAAATATTTGATTTTTCTAGTCAACTGAAGCATATTGATTTTTTTTTTTTTTTTTGGTCAGTCGTGGGGCCTGAACTCTGGGCCTGGGCACTGTCTCTCAGCTCTTCAGCTCAAGGCTAGTGCTCTACTACTTGAGCACAGTGCCACTTCCGGCTTTTTCTGCTTATGTGGTGCTGAGAAATCAAACCCAGGGCCTCATGCATGCAACGTAAACACTCTACCAGAGCCACCTTCCCAGCGGTATATTAAATTTTTTTCCCTAGGTTTTTCAGAAAGACACAGAACTAAATTTAATGCCTAATTATATTTTGTATACTAGGTGTTTTTGTAGTTATTGCCTCTTTTCAACATGTTTCTCATTTTTGTAGCCTAATCCTATTTTAGAAATAATTATGCTATGTACTAAATGTTTTATCCATCTTTCATTTTTAGCTCCAATTATCCTTTGGGCTTTCATTGTTTTAAAGTCATTCTTTGTCTTTCATATTTCATCAGTCAACAAATATCTATTAATTCCTAGGTGTCAGGCACTGTTGTGATTCTTCTGATTCAACATTTACTGTCATTCTCTTTACTCTCTCTCCCTTCTGCTCTGTCAATCTCACAGGGCCACTGTGATTCTCTCATTGCTTCTATGATTTTCTTACTCTGTAATCTGTCCTATGGTTTAGGAACAAAGTCTTAGTAGAAACTCTTGGGACCAAATGTGCTTCAGAATCCAGAAATTTTGGATTTTAGACATATCATGTTTCTTCACAAAAGGACATATCCACTATTTTAATTTGAATCAAAAGAGAGTCACTGTCTCCCAACTCATTGGCCTCTTTTTTGGTTCTTGGTGATGCTCAAGCATCATCAGTGAGTTTTATGGCATCAGACAATATATTGAATTTGCTTCCTATCCTTGCTACACCTATTACAATTCAGGTCCTTTCTCTCTTCTTGGTTTTTGTAGCTTTTCAAACTAGACTGAAGTGACTTAACCATGCATTATGTTAGAAACTGAGAAACAAAGACATTCTTTGGGTTTCTTATCTACAGGACTTCTTGGTGGGAAAGACTAGAGGATTGGTTAAATGAATTAGTAAATAGAATATTTTTATAACCATTAAGAATGATGAGTTTTGTCTGCTAAATGCTAAGACATATTAAGGAGAAATGTGTGTTGCAGAGCTGTTGAAGTCCCATAGACAGTTGGTATAACGCTATGGAAAATACATATCAAACCATAGCAGTGCTCTGAAAAGATACTGGGAACCTTTATTTTGATTTTTTTAAATGTTTAAATAAAAAACTGAAATTATGTATCTTAGTCTGAAAAAATAAAAGGAATGAAAACTGGTACGCTTGTAACATGAATTCTCAAACATTATGCCAAGTGAAAGAAGCAGTCACAAAAGAACACATAGTATGATTCTTTTCCAAATCTAGAGTTAGAAAAGCACAATACACCCCCCTTGCCTGAAGAGGAATATACATCAAGACCCTTAATAGATGCTAGAAACTGTAGATGTACACACTGTCATATTGTCAGTAGATGAGAGAACTAGGAAAACAAAATGCTAACAAATAGTCATATAGAATGGACAAAATAATTCAGTCCTGGACAGACTAGTCCAAGATGGCCTAATATATATCATCACACTACTTAGAAAAGGGAACAATTTAAAACTTATGAATACTTTAACTATTTTAGTATTTTGAGATGGTAATTGAAACCCAATGTGGGTAAAGGAGATCAATGTAGGTCAGTGATAGATTAAGGTTTGGAAAAGGATAGCAAGGCAGAGGGATTGAATTATTATAGTTGAATGGTATGGAATTTCCTTTTTGGAGTTAGAAAAATGTTCTAAAATTGATTATGGTGATGGGCATACAACTAAAAACCACTTAATCTTATGCTTGAAATTAGGTGCATTGTATGCATGAATTATATCTCAGTGAAACTGTAAGAATAATCTGGAACATGTGGCAAGGGAACTATACTTTTCAAATATTATTCAAATTGCAGTGCTGGTAAAACATCCTGGTTTAGATATTGACCAGCTCACTATAGGGATGGAATCTAACAGAAACAATTCATTCATTCAACAGAAAGCAAGATCCTAAATTCATAACCCAGTTTACTAGTACATAGTAATTCAAGAGGGCTGGGAAGGTGGCTCAGTGGTAGAGCGCTTGCCTTGCATGCCTGAGGCCCTGGGTTCGATTCCTCAGCACCACATAAGTAAAAAGAAAAAAGCCGGAAGTGGTGCTGTGGCTCAAGTAGGTAGAGCGCTAGCCTTGAGCTTAAGAGCTGAGGGACAGCGCCCAGGCCCAGAGTTCAGGACCCACGACCAGACCCCCCCAAAAAAACAAAAACATAGTAATTCAAGAGGTTTAAGCAACCATACTCCTAACTACTCAGGACAGTAAAGTTAGTCAATTAGTCAGTAAAATGCTACACTGGAAATGTGGTTCACATGGCCAGAACACTAGCCTTTAGCAAGCAAGCTGAGTGAGCGCCGAGTTGAACCTTTGGTGTTGGCATAAACAAACAAACAAAGCAATAATTAACATGTTAGAATTTGTGAAATGTTAAGTAAATTCTTAACATAGCTGACCCAGGATTTTACTTGGTATACCTAAGGCTTATGAAGTTTGGAGTTTGTGTTGAATACACAACTGAAAGAAAACGAAATGAGCAGTAGTATATACCATTTAAAGCTTTATTAACAAAACAGAAACAAACTCAAGACAACTGTTTTGTTCTTGCTTCTTATCTGACCCTATATTGACGAGATTTTTTTTGTTAATAAAATGACTTTGGTTAAAAAAATCAATATTCTAGTTTCATCAAAAACAAACTTCAGATGAAAGTATCTACAGTTCAGTAAGTGAAAGATTTACAAAAGCATGTCAATGAAAACTCAGTTCTTTCCTTCAAACATAAAGATGAAGCCCCTTCAATATAACTCACTTGAAATCATAAAACAACACAAATCAAGATCATGAGTGTTCTATAGCCCCTATTGGAAAAAACTGAGGAAACTCATGGATAATTTTCAAAGCTTCGTTGTAAAGTCCAAGATCTGAAAGAAGCATAGAAGTAGACACTTAATTTACAGTGGAAAGCTGCATCATCTATCATCTAGAAGTTTTCTACCTATTTCTCTTTTAGAGTTTATTTTCACAATTCAGTTTCTATAACTGAGTTAAGAACCATCACTTTAATTTTACTGTGGCTCCCAGACCAAAAGAAGGCACGTGGGAATACATGATCATCCACTTGCCTGTATGTGTATTACCTTACCCCAGGCTTTCGTGTATCAAAACAAAAATCATTAATATCCTATTTTGAAACATTTTTCTTTATATCTACAAAGACCTTTCAGAAGCAGGACAAAATATCCTCATATATTTCTTTGGGATCGGAAACCTCCTATAGAAAATAGGAAACCTCTATTGAAAATATGGGTAGACTGAGAGTTAAGACCAATACATACCAAATTAATAAAACCATTGTTCTCATAATGACATAAAATCACTGAATACCAGAAAGATTTGCTTACCAAAAGGAAGAATATCCTCTTTAAACTGGATGAAAGATGCACACATGATTGTTGCCTTGGGGGTTACTCTTCCAACTACTTCCAAGACTCCAGAGATTTCTTCAGTAAGCTAAAACATTGAACAAAATGTCAACTTATTATCTTATTTTTAGAATTTGGAAAATGACACATCTTTCAAATGATTTCACTTTACCAAATTTCCATGGGAAAAAAGTAACTTTAAGATTTGACAATACTTAGGGCTGGGAGGGTGGCTCAGTGGTAGAACACTTGCCTTGCATGCCTGAGGCCCTGGGTTCGATTCCTCAGCACCACATAAACAAAAAGAAAAAAGCCGGAAGTGGAGATGTGGCTCAAGTGGTAGAGTGCTAGCCTTGAGCTGAAGAGCTGAGGGACAGCGCCCAGGCCCAGAGTTCAGGCCCCATGACCGGACCTCCCCCCCCCCCCCCAAAAAAAAAAAAAAGATTTGACAATACAAAACATTATACAATTCTACTCTGGAAGACAGTGGGACTCATAGGGAACTGGAAGTTCATGTCTTAGGAGAATGAGGGCAGAAGGATTGTTGTTCAAGGCCTGACCTAGCAGAAAAGTTTACAAGAACCCTTTCCAACCTGTAACTGGGTAGAAAGCCTCTACCTATCTTCCTTAAACATGGAAATACATGAAGTAAAACAGGCAGACTGCGGTCCAAATGCCTGCCTGGGCAAGAAGCAAGGTCCTACTCAAAAATAAAAGGGAGGGGCTGGGAAGGTGGCTCAGTGGTAGAGTGCTTGCCTTGCATGCATGAGGCCCTGGGTTTGATTCCTCAGCACCACATAAACAAAAAGAAAAAAGCCATAAGTAGTGGTGTAGCTCAAGTGGTAGAGCACTAGCCTTGAGCTGAAGAGCTGAGGGACAGCGCCCAGGCCCAGAGTTCAGGCCCCATGACCGGACCCTAAATAAATAAATAAGTAAATAAATAAATAAATGGGAGAAGAATGGCTTAGCTGTTGAACACCTGCTTGGTGAACCCTCAAGTTCAAACACCAGTACCTTTACAGAAAGGAAAAAAAAAAAAAAGCTCATTACTTATCTGATAGTCTATATAAAGCTTGTTACCTGTATGTGTGTGTGTGTGTGTTTGTGCCAGTACCAGGGGTTAAACTCAAAGCCTCATGTTCTCTCTCAGCTTTCCTGCTCTTGGCTGGTACTCTACTAGACCGATGCCTTCAGTCTGGATTTTAACTATTTAAATAGAGAATCTCACGCATTTTTCTGTGGGACTGTGATCCACATCTAAACCTACTAGGTAGACAGGATTACAAGAATGAACCACTTGCAACTGGAAAGTCTTGTTACTTTTTTTCCTAGTAGCTTCCAGTCCAAAGTATCAGTTAAACATTTAAGCTAAAGATCAACTCAAATGAACTGGGAATTTCTTTCTTTCTTTTTTTGTCAGTTGTGGGGCTTGAACTCTGGGCCTGGGCACTGTCCCTGAACTCTTCAGCTCAAGGTGAGCATTCTACCACTTGAGCCAGTGTCACTTCTGGTTTTCTGGTGGTTAATTGGAGATAAAAGTCTCATGGACTTTCCTGCCCTGGGCTGACTTTGAACTTTGAACCTCAGGTCTCAGCCTCCTCAGTAGTACGATTACAGGTGTGAGCCACCAACTACCAGGGAGAATGGGGATTCCTGTAAGCAGTTTAGTATTATTATTTTTGGTGTTCATCATAGAGCTTGAACTGAAGGCCTGGGCCACTGTCCTAGAACGTTTTTTGCTCTAGGATAGCACTCTACTACAGCTTTCTTGTCCAAGCTGTCTTTGAACTATAATCCTCAGATCTGAGTAGCTAGGATTATAGGTGTGAGCCACAGGCTCCTGGAAGAAATTAGTTTTTAAGGACTCTTGAGAATGACATGTATAAATCTATTTACCAAATAGCATATGGAATTGTCTGCATGGAAAACTAAGAAAATATTTTTCAGCAAATTAAGCATAAAATACAGAAATAAATGACGCGTAATAAAGACAGTATTAGAATAGACCTATAGTGCTAGCTGCTTAGGAGTCTGAGCAGGAGAATCTTTTGAGCCTAAGAATCAAAAGACCACTGGGTAACAAATCAAGACTGTCTCAAAAGAAGAAAAATAGAAAACTCTTGAAAAAGGAAGGAGTAATATGAAGGGATTTTTCTCATGTAATTTTTCTACATAAGGATGAAGATTTTTGTCCATCCAACCACTTAAGGGATACACTAATAATCATGGAGCCCACAGAATCATTGGTTAAGAGATATAAAAAGAAATATGATATATATGACAATTTTAAAGTTCATTTAAGTTTTACAAGCACATCCTTTATATATTCTCTCCAAAAATCAGAAATAGCAACAATGCAAAACAAGATAAAGAGACCTAATACTTAAACATACTGGCTCCATCAACTCAACGTTCCCAGTTTTCCCTTCTCCATCTGACAGAATAAACATTTTTCCAGAGGGATGAATCTGAAAAAGAAAACATAATTTAGTAACAAACAAACAAACAAAAAAACAAACAAAAAAACCCACATGAACCTTTAAAAGTTTCAAAATGTGAACTAAAATGAGCAGATTGACCCTAATTTACTTTAGCTTTGAATAAAGCAATCGTTTTCCCAACGGTTTATTTGGTTCAAATCACCCTATTATAAAAACAAATTAAAGGAGGCCCAAACTATTCAATAGTGGGAATGTGCTGGCCCTTATGATTTAGGTAGTACATAGCTCCTTGAGGGAATGTTTTAAAAATGGAGTAAAATAAGTGGCTGCTCCAGGATTTGGGTTCTGTTCCAGGGAGGCACCTGCAAGCAGCAGTGGTTTGCATGCCACTTTTGCTCTTTGCTGTAGTGGAGCATTTTAGTTAACTACCACACTCTGGCTCAGTCTTCCTATATGGAGTGGGAATAACATTCATTCCCTGTGGGGGATGTGTGGTAGAAACGAGTTACTAAGTGAGTCTTTATAAATGCTGTTCTTTCTCTTGGCTTTCTCAATCACTGATTTTGAGTTGAGGCTTTGGCCTGTTTCTCATCAGTAGGATGAGGGGGTTTGGGGCAAAATAGGTAGTTACAAGTTCTGGAAGGGATGATGCAGAAATGTTTTCAGGAGACGTGAATACGAGAGAACGAGGTCTCAGAACAGAGGCGACCGTAGACAACAAAGAGCAGCCTAGCTGGCATCGGTCACGTACTGTGAGAAACGCAGAAGGTTATACATGGGGGAGTCAGCGGTACAATTCCCTTTAGCTAAACAGAACGGGCGAGGGGCACTGGAACTTCAGACTCCAGAACATTCGAGAACACTTTTCTGTGCTATAAAAAAGGCGCGAAAATACGGCCGCAACCACTGAGGTATGGGAAAACTCTCCTTGGACAAGATAAAGCCAACCGGGAGGGCAAAGCGGCTCTGAGGCTCTCCGTCCTTCACCCACCATCGTCTACTTCAGGTCACCGGGGCCCCCACACCGGCTACAATCCGGGGGGAGCGGAGGGAAACCGGGAGCGCGCCCACCTTTTCCAGCCGTCCTACGAAGCAGACTGGCCGGTCGATAAACTGAGGTACCATACTGGCGTTGATGCGCCACTTGGGCATTTCCATTAGGTCCACCATGATAGCTCCAAAAGCTGTGCACCGATGAGCAGCTGGTAGAACCAGAGCAACTCCGCGGGATAATCGAGTTCCCGGCGCCTTCCTTGATTGGCGTGCCCGTTCCACCAATCAAAAGGGAGAAACTTCTACCGACCTCACGTTGCCCCCTCGGAGGCGCCCGGAAGTGGGAGGTGACGGTTTTGTGACTCGCGGCGTTCCGGAAGTTTCACGGGTGCTAGGCAGATCAAGCGAAGAGGGCGGGACGTGGGCGGGGGAGGGCGGGGCCTGAGGCTGAACTCTGCCGGGATTTTGGGTGTCCCTGAGGAGGCCGTGACCCCGGAAGTCGGGCGTTGGACTCGGGTGCCAGTGTGGCGGCGGACGGCGGCGCGAACCCCAGGTACCTCTTCTCGCGGGAGTCGCCGCTGTTTCACCGCTTCATTTTCCCCCTGCGGACTGATTGTCAGGGCCGAGGCGGGAGTCGGGCGCCGGCGGCGGCGGGGCGGTCCGCGGGCGGACCAGCTGTGACAGTTCCCCCGCCTCCCCCTTCCTGGCAGAGCGGGGCGCGCGGGGCGGGGGGGGGGGAGCGGGCTGCCGGGGGAACCCGGGTTCGGGCCGCCCGAGGGCGGGAAGGCGGGGCGCGTAGTTGCCACGGCTTTCTTCAGGCCGCAGTTGCCTGTGGCCGAGCGTCTCTTCTCCCTCCCCCTCCTCGCGCCACTGTGACAGTTTCTCCGTCGGCTGCTCTACCTGCGATCCTTTCTAGATCCTTCGTAACAAGGTTTCTCAGACCCTAGGCGTTAGCAGCGTCGGGTTGGCCCCGGAGCCCCAAGCGAAGGCTACGTCTTGCACTCCTCTATCCACCGAACGAGGTCCGACGAAGTGATCTCCTGGGGAGGTATAACGGACTGACTCTTTTTTTTTTTTTCTTTAACCCCGGACAGTCTTTGTACCGTTACTCTTACCCCCAACACTCTTGAAGGGGCACAGCTGGAAGAGAATCTATTCCGAGAGGATTGGGGGAGGGCAGTATTCTCGAATCTGACACTGGCTCACCGTGGGATGTGTAGCTGGGTTGATTTTTGGGGTTTCCTCTGCCAGAATTGGTACCTACCTTGTCCAGGAAGTTTCCGAATGAGTGCTCATTAAAAAGAAACAATCAACAAACCCAACTCTCTCTCTAAATATATATATATATACTCTCTCTCTCTATATATATATATATATATAATTAGGTCTTAACCATTTTATGGAAACCGAGTCTTGTTTTTCTCCAAATCTTTTTTCCAAAGGAATTGTTATGATTCATATTCAGGTACCTCCCTGGAGTCTCCCATTTAGTCCTGAAATTACCTTAAGCCAAAGAAATTTGAGATTTCATATAAAAGATGTTTTGAGGTATTCTATATATGATTGAAATATGATAAATCCTTTGAATGATAGTATTTAACACTTAATATGTCTTAGTTATGTTGTCACTGAAACAATTTCATTAAATGTGGGGTGTATTTTGTTTGGTGTAAAGAAAAAATGTTGAGGGTACAGGTCAATAACGTCTATTTTTGCTTAAAGTCGTTTGCACTTCAACATTGTTTTGGGAAGAAATTTGATGTGTATTATACATGGTAGGAGGCATATTTTTAATGTAATAACTACTTTAAAAAACAGCCTGAAGACTAGATGTTTACATCTTCTTATTACAGTTAAAACAGCACTTTTAAACAGACATTAAAAAAGATAAGCAAGAGAAAAGTTTAAACAGCTTTTTGTGAGGAGGCTAGGGCAGGAGGAGCATGAAGTGAGGCCAGTTAGAGGAGATGTCTGTCTGTCCATCTGTCTATCTAATCTACCTTCTTACTTACCTACCTACCTACCTATCTATCTACTGTATGAAAATTGTTCAGAAACATTAAACCAAGCCAAATAACCAAAAATGACTTCAGTTTGGGGGATTTTTTTTGCCCCTAAATTTTATTATGAAATGGATGTCTAAAAAAGGTTTATACTGGGGCTGGGAAGGTGGCTCAGTGGTAGAGCGCTTGCCTTGCATGCATGAGGCCCTTAGTTCCGATTCCTCAGCACCACATAAGCAAAAAGAAAAAAGCTGGAAGTGGTGCTATGGCTCAAGTGGTATAGCGCTAGCCTTGAGCTGAAGAGCTGAGGGACAGCACTCAGGCCCAGAATTCAGGCCCCACGACCGGACCAAAAAAAAAAAAAATATCTATCTATCTATCTATCTATCTATCTATCTATCTGATAATGTACTTTTGAGACAGTTTAAGTGAACCAATGTGAATCTCTCATTCATCTTAAGACATGAAAATACGGTTAGTGGTTTGCACTTCCCAGTTGTCTCTTCCTTGCTAATCTATTTTAAACGCTTAACCTTGCAATCTGTACTAAGCTTCTTAAGATGTCTCCACAGTTAAATCACATGTAGACATTTCTAAATGGTATACTGATTAGCTTTGTCAGTCTTTGACCTTTATATGAATGGAATCATGTATCATTGTTTCTTTGGTTGTTGATTAATGGAGGCGAAGTTTATTCTTTTTATGCCTTTTTATTCTTATTGACAGTGTATTGCAGTTCGTTTCTATTGTATACAGAGCCACTTTGATATTCTTGTACTTCCTTGTGTGCTTGGCAAATGCATACCAGTACAATTGCTGGAACATAGGATGTGAATCTTCAGCATTACTACTAAAAGCAAATGATTTACTCAAATGCTGAGACCAATTTATCTTTTAGACATACAGGAGAGTTAGTTACAATTGACCCACATTACTGACAATCCTTGATGTTTTTCCATCCTAGCATGGGGATATTTAGTAGTGCTTCCACCAGATGAGTGGGAGTTTGTTGTTTCTTGAATCCTGTTAGTTTTTTCGTAACACCTAATGTTTTGGATTTAGCATCCACTTATCAGGGAGACCATGTACCATTTGTCTCTTCGTTCTTGGCTAACCTCGCTCAACAAGATTCCTTCTAGCTCCATCCATTTCCCTGCAAATGCCATTATTTTGTCATTTCTAATGGCTGCATAATATTCCATTGTGTATAGATACCACAATTTTTGGATCCATTCATCTGTGGTGGGGCATCTAGGTTGTTTCCATATCCTAGCTATTGTGAACAGTGCTGCAATAAACATGGAGGTGCACGTGTCCTTGTGTATTGGTTCCTGTTGTTCAGGGTAGATGCCTAGAAGTGGTATGACTGGGTCGTAAGGGAGGTCAATCTTTAGCTTTCTAAGGACCCTCCAGACTGCTTTCCAAAGTGGTTGTATAAGTGTACATTCCCACCAGCAGTGTAATAGGGTTCCTCTTTCTCCACATCCCCTCCAGCATTTGTTGTTGGCTGATTTGTGGATGTGGGACATTCTGACTGGGGTAAGGTGGTATCTCAGGGTTGTCTTTATTTGCATTTCCTTCACCACCAGGGATGATGAACATTTCCTCATGTGTTTCTTTGCCATTTTTATTTCTTCATTTGAGAAGTCCCTCTTTAGTTCCCTTGCCCATTTAGTAATTGGTTTGTTAGGTTTGGGAGGGATTAGTTTCTTGAGTTCCCTGTATATACAGGATGTTAACCCCTTGTCTGATATATTGCTGGTAAATATTTTTTCCCAGTTAGTTGGTTGTCTTTCTAGCTTAGTTGCGATAGATTTAGCTGTGCAGAAGCTTTTTATTTTAAGGTAGTCCCATTTGTTGAGTCTCTCTCCAACTTGTTGTGACCCTGGGACTCTGTTCAGGAAGTTCCTTCCTGTGCCTATTAGTTCAAGTGTCTCTCCTACTCTGTCCTGCAGTAGTTTCAGAGATTCAGGTTTAATGTTAAGGTCTTTAATCCATTTTGAGTTGATGTTGGTGCATGGTGATAGCTGGGGTCCACTTTTAGTTTTCTGCATGTGGCTGCCCAGTTTTCCCAGCACCAGCGGTTGAAGAGGCTGTGTTTCTTCCATTGTATGTCTTTGGCTCCTTTGTCGAATATCAGCTGGCTGTAGGTCTGTGGATTTATTTCTGGATCTTCTATTCTGTTCCATTGGTCTTCGGGTCTGTTTTTGTGCCAGTACCATGCTGTCTTTGTGATTATAGCTCTGTAGTAGAGTTTGAAGTTCGGCATGGATAGCCCTCCCATATTGTCTTTATCCCCTAGAATTGTTTTGGCTATTCTAGGTCTTTTGTTGTTCCATATGAATTTTTGGACTGTTTTCTGTATTTCAGTGATGTACGTCATTGGGATTTTAATAGGAATTGCATTGAATTTGTATATTAGTTTTGGAAGTATTACCATCTTTACTATATTAAGTCGGCCTATCCAGGAGCATGGGAGGTCTTTCCATTTCCTAGTGTCTTCTGCAATTTCTTTCTTTAACTTTTTATAGTTCTCATTAAATAGTTCTTTTACATCTTTGGTTAGGTTAATTCCTAAATATTTTATTTTTTGTGAGGTTATTGTGAATGGGGTTGCTCCCTTTATTTCCCTCTCTTCCTGTACATTATCAGTGTATAGGAAGGCAACTGATTTTTGTGGGTTTATTTTGTATCCTGCTATTTTGCCGAAGTGATTTATGATTTCTAAGAGTTTGGGGATGGAGTTTTTGGGATCGTGGAGGTATAGTATCATGTCGTCTGCAAAAAGGGATAGTTTAACTTCTTCTTTCCCTATGCGGATCCCTTTAATGTCTTTTTCTTGCCTTATTGCCCTGGCTAAGGGTTCTAAGACTATATTGAAGAGGAGTGGAGACAGTGGGCATCCTTGCCTTGTTCCTGATTTTAGGAGAATTGGTTGTAGCTTTTCCCCATTAAGTATAATATTGGCTATTGGTCTGTCATAAATGGCTTTTATTGTTTTTAGAAATGTTCCTTCTATTCCTATTTTCTCCAGAGCTTTTAGCATGAATGAATGTTGAATTTTATCAAAGGCCTTTTCTGCATCTGTGGCGATAATCATGTGATTCTTGACCTTGGCTCTGTTGATATGTTGGATTATATTTATTGACTTACGTATGTTAAACCATCCCTGTGTCTCTGGGATGAAGCCTACCTGATCATAGTGTATTATTTTTTTTATGTATTTCTGGATTCTGTTAGCTAGAATCTTGTTAAGGATCTTTGCATCTGTGTTCATCAAGGAAATTGGCCTGTAATTCTCCTTTTTGGTTGGGTCTTTGCCTGGTTTGGGGATGAGTGTGATATTGGCTTCGTAGAATGAGTTTGGGATAGCTCCCTCCTTCTCTGTTTCTCTGAAGAGCTTGAGGAGTATGGGTATTAGTTCTTGTTTAAAGGTCTTATAGAATTCTGCTGTGAATCCATCTGGTCCTGGGCTTTTTTTTGTTGGAAGACTTTTGATAGCTTCCTGTATCTCATTATAGGATATTGGCTTATTTAATTGGTTAACTTCTTCTTTGCTCAGTTTGGGCAACTTGTATTTCTCTAAAAAATGCATCCATTTCCGCCAGATTTTCTTCCTTTAGAGAGTATAGCTTTTGAAAGTAGTCTGTTAGAATTGTTTGGATATCTTGGGTACGTGTTGTGATGTTTCCCGTGGCATCCCTAATCCTATTAATATGGGTTTCCTCTCTTCTTTTTTTAATTAATCTTGCCAACGGGCCATCAATTTTGTTTATTTTTTCAAAGAACCAGCTTTTTGTTTGGTTTATTTTGGTTATGGTTTTCTGATTTTGCTATTGCTTTTAATATAGTTACATTTTTCTAAGTCTAATATAGTTTAAGAAGTCAATTGAAAGCATTAATGTATCAAACCTTTAAAGTTATTCTTTTTTCCTAAATTTTTTTAACTTTGGTCCTCATATGTAGTATTCCATGTTGTTAAATAGGTACTTGCTTGCATTTTCTTTTTATTTCAATTGTCTCATCCTTTGTTGACTTTATCAGCTTTTGCCTCTAAGTTTAGAGGTATGTATGGAGTCTATTCCTGCCTCTTCACCTGTATGATCTAGTTTTCTATCCCTGTACCACTGCCCATTTTCTTTAATGGTGTCCATAGCCTCATCCTAATTTTTGAGGTCTGACTTTCAGGAAGGTCTTGTTTTTTTTTTTTGCCATTCTATATTAATTTTCTAAGGTCTATATTTACTTTTCTAAGTTCCTTTGTTGGGATTTTGTTTACAATTTTACTGAGTCATTAGGTCTATCTCAGGATGAGTAATAATGGCAACTATTGCTATTCTTAATCAAAATAAATCTTTACCCTTGCTGTCTTTTTAAAGAGTATAAAAATTTTAATTCTTTTTGTTTTTTGTTTTTGTTTTTTTTTGGTCCAGTTGTGGGGCTTGAACTCTGGGCCTTGCCGCTGTCCCTCAGCTCTTCAGCTTAAGGCTAGCGCTCTACCACTTGAGCCACAGTGACACTTCTGGCTTTTTTCTTTTTGCTTATGCGGTGCTGAGGAATCGAACCCAGGGCCTCATGCATGCAAGGCAAGTGCTCTACCACTGAGCCATTCTTCCCAGCCCAAAATTGTAATTCTTATGTTAGATATATTCCTTTTTTTTTGGGGGGGGGGTCCAGTAGTGGGGCCTGAACTCTGGGCATGGGCGCTGTCCCTCAGCTCTTCAGCTCAAGGCTAGCGTTCTACCACTTGAGCCACAGCACCACTTCTGGCTTTTTTCTTTTTGCTTATGTGGTGCTGAGGAATTGAACCCAGGGCCTCATGCATGGAAGGTAAGTGCTCTACCACTGAGCCACCTTCCCAGCCCCTTGTTAGATATTTTCCTGAGTATATATCTTGTTTTTATTAGTTATTAATAGTATCATCTTTAATTAAAAATTTTAACTGATTGTTGCTAGTATTTAGAAATACCAGTTAAAATTCTTATTTAAAATCATTTTCAATGAGATTCTTGTGTTTGAGTTATTGCAGTTTTGTTTATTAATAATTCTTATGTACTTATTTTTCTTGCCCACATTAGAACCTCAAAGTTCTATTCTGAATAGAAACACTTTCAATTAAGAATGGGTTTGTTTGGGTAAGTAAAAGTATCATAAACACAAAGACTTATTCTCAAAGAAATCCAGAGACATACAGCTCAGAACTTGTGTGGTAGTGCCTCTAAGATTCTAAAGTCTCTAAGAATTGAGAGATCTGATTTCTAGAGGTTTGCAAACATCAGGGTTCCAAATTCAAAGGCTTCTGACTGTAGGCTGGGAGAATTACAGGCTTTGGGCCTTAAGCTTTGAAACCTGGAAGTTTGTTACTTCTGGGTCAGTGCTCAAGACAGAGGCTTATAGTGCTCTCTGCTTAGAATGCTAACATCCAAGCAGCTACAGTTCCCAAGCCCTGATTTCAGAAACCTTTGCTCTAGAGCCCTTGGCATCTCTCTCAAACTCCTATAGCAGCAAGATCTTGCAGTCCACTTATCTTCTCAGTCTCTTTGCCATCTCTTTTTTGCCTCAATACTTCTACCCATCCCTCTTGGTTTTTATAGCTTCTTGTACATCTGGGATAAACTGTCCTTCTTTTTGTGTTATCTCTGCTCTGTAGAAGTGCTTTTGGTGAGATTTTTCCTAGTAAACTGCCAGTTTGGCTATTCTAGTCCTCAGAAGATAATTGTATTAACCTGTTCATGGTATAGAATTTTAGTTCATTTCTCTCAGAACTGTATTGAAGTGATATTTTGTTCTTGAGGCATTTGCTTTCTTTTGTTGTGATAACTTTTATTTGTATTCATTACCCTTAATTTCTCTTTAGTGTTCTTTAATTGTGGTATACAGCAGCCTGATATGAATTTTTCTTGTTGGTAAATACATTGTGCCTTGAGTCTGATAAGGCTTGTCTTCATTGCTCTTGGATTGTTTCCAAATATTATCTCTTTGAGTTTTGTCTTTTTCCCCATTCTCTCTGATTCCTCGAATTCCAATTAGATGTAAAGAAGGACCTCACTCGTTCTTGACCTTTGTTTTCTCATTACAGTGCTTTTGATTCTATGTCCTCAATTCTAAGTATTTTTCATAGATTATAATGGTGATAATAATTCCTTGTAAGTGCTCTTCCTAATTTAAAACTTTTATGTCTAAGAGCTTTTTATTTTTTTTTTGTTTTTTTATACAAATCTCACTAATTCTCACTCATAATCTCTCTCTGTTTTGGTATGTGTCACATCTCTATTTCTTCATCTGTAACAGAATATAAAATGTATATTTATATTTTGCTGTAGTTTTTATGGGTCTGATTTCATAAAGTTCTTGATTCTAGTGACTATTGCTGTGGCTTTTGTTTCTTCATTTACATGGTAATTTAGAATTGTGAATTCCTGTTTCATGGAATTTTTGTTGATTTCTTTGAGGTTTGGTTTCAGAGTGTGTTTCTCAGGAAAGGACTTATGTTTCCTTCTTCCCACAATGTTTGGGCCCCAGGCTTTTTGCCTCTTCCTTGTGGGACAGGGATCATTAAAACCCAGGCTTTTATCCATTAGAAATCAGCAATGGACATAGGGAAAACATTAGTTCTGGTACTCATACCCTGTAGATTTGTAGATCTTCCTCCCTTTTAGCTTCTGTGGAATTTCTTTATCTTTTTTTGGGTTGGCCATACTAAAAAAAAGACACTTAAAAATACTTAGTCTAGCATTTTTAGATCCTGAGAGTGATTTCTTGAACATCTGATTTGCTCTGTTAACCAGTAATGCACATTCTGGCTTTTTTGGCTGTTATTGACTTTTTGTACAACTGTAAGAGAACTAGTATGGGAATTATGCTAGTTGCTGAAGATAGCAAATCCGGCTATGTGCTAACCAAGACTTCCATGCTAAGTAGTTCAGGCTTAATAGTAATGCTATAAGAGAGACTAGTTGGAGAATCATCAGTTTCACATTCTAAATTCAGAATGAAGATTGACTTGGAGTATCCCAGTGTAAGTGCTTTTGGTAAGAGTTACATTACCACAATTTAAACTTTTATTAACTTTAATAATATATATGTAACCTAAGAGTTAGCATTTAACCATTTGTAAGCAAACAACGTAGCAAACTATGTACAATCACATTGTGTGCAACCATCATTACCATCTATCCAGAAGTCAGTTTCTCAAACTCAAACACTGTATCCAAATGAGAGTATAAGGCCCTGACTTCAAGCCCAAGTTCCAATACCAAAGAGAAAAGAAAGAAAGAAGAGAAGGAAAGAGAGCCGGAAATAGGAATTGATGAACAAATAGAGAAAATTCCAACACTAAGTAATATATTTTATTTATTCTAGAATCCCTTGTGCTGTGGTTGTACAGAGGTATGACTTCACATCAAATGACTTTACTCTCCCTTAGGGCATTATTGAGATGTGTTTATCTCACTGAAGATAATTGTTTTATGCTTTTTGTTTGAGTTTTATTCGGTTTTCCCCCAGATTTTTACTTAGAGTTTCAGTGTTGAATCTCACTGAAGATAATTATTTTATGCTTTTTGTTTCAGTTGTGTGCAGTTTTTCCTCAGATTTTTACTGAATTTTAGAGTTACAGTGTTGAATGGATTAGGTAGTATTGTACTGATTAACAATAAGCACTATTATAAATGTAAAATAGTTTGTTGTTGGCAGGTAGAATTATACAAGTTTTTTAAAGCATAAAAATATATTATTGCACTACAGATTTAGAAGAATCAGGATGATATACGTGCAGTTTGATAGATTAGGAGAGATTTGCTCAGTGGTTAATACTGAAGGATTCCTTTTCACCTAATTCTTTGGTTCTCAACAAGGGCCAGTTTTGCTTACTAGGGAACACTTGGCAGTATCCAAAGACATTTTTGGTTGTAATAGCTGGGGCTTTCCTTTTTTTTTTTTTTTTAAACAGGTGGCTTTAGTTTTATGAAGGCTTATAGGCCTGACAAAAAACTTGGGCAGATGTTTCTTCCTTTCTTCTTTCCTTTCCTCTAACTAGTGTTTGTGTTATGTTTAGTGGGTGAGATCCTTCCAGATTCTAGTGTTACCTGTTGATTTTGGTTTTCTGTGTAGGGACTTGTTGAATTATTTTCTGAAGCTTCTGAAACTGAAAGGTTCATTATAGACTTTAAGGTATGGAGGATTTTAAACAGTGAGTCCATGTACCTTAATTTCTAGCTTTGTCTTAGGATGTTCATAGGAAGCTCATGGTCCTAAGTTGTCAATATAGAAGCTCATGGTCTTAAGTTATCAATATAGAAGCTCATGGTCTTAAGTTGCCAGGACAATTCCTAAGATTAGTTACTGTAATATTTTAAATTTGGCTTTTTACTAAAAAGGGTAGACGTTTTAAAGTTTGTGTTTCTGTTTCAGATAGCAGCAGAAGCTACAATGTTTAACTTCTTCCGAAAGCGGCCTGAGCCTAAGAAACCCTCAGTAGCAGAGACAGAAGCAGATGGATTTATCTTTATAGGTAAGTCTTCTTAAGGAGTAAAAAAATTATATGCATTGTTCCCTTTAAAAATTACTTGGTAATCTTATGATTAATTTTTAATTTCTTACTAATGTCAGAATGACTTTATATGTATAATTTAAAAAAAACAAACTGTAGAAATAAAGATCAGCAATTATTTGTCATCAGATCTGGATCTTACATTTTGGTTTGGTTGTATAGTTCTCATTCTTTTTGTAAATCACCAATTTTTACCTGTGGAAACTAAAAGTCTTAAACATTCCTTGAAAAATGTTTTCTCTTACTAATAGTATCACCCTGGCTTTGTAAATTAAATTAGGTCACATGAATATTTGCTGAAAAAAGGACTATTTTAAGTATGAAATGGTTAGTGTTTCATGAATATTTGGTTAGGATTTATTTTATATTATAAAATTAAAGTTTTAAAGAATTTTTAATTTAATCTAATTTTAAACATTTTGATAGCTGTTAAGTTTCTTCTTTCAATCAAATACAGTATAGAGTATGTTATTTCTAAAGGGAATTTTGAAAAATAGAATTTCCTTCATGTCACTATATCTTTCCCTCAGAGAAGAGATTTGCTGTCTTGGAATGTTCTTTCCAGATGCCATCTCCTGAGAAGGGTGTTTCAGTAACCAAAACACAGTATTTCTTTCTTATGTTCTTTCTTATCTACTCTGGGCCTTCTCCCTCCAGATTCTGACTGCTCTGAGAAGATTTGCATTAACTCATGTGGTGGTCACTCCCTAGGATGTTTCTCTGGGTCTCCTCTTGCAGGTACTGATTTCTTTCTTTTTTGTGCTGATTCTGGAACCTGAACTCAGGGCCTTCCTTGTGTGTTCTTTCTTTCTTCTTTTTCTTTCTCCTTTCTTGCTTACAAGTATCACTCTGCCACTTTGAGTCATGAGTCATGCCTCTAACCATATTTCTAGTTAGAGATGGAATCTCCCACACTTTTCTATCTGAGCTGGCTTTGAACTGTGTTCTCCTAGATCTCGGACTTCTGAGTAGGAGTGGAGTAGGTAGAGTGGAAGCCTGAGCTGCTGACACCTGGCTACAGGTTTTTATTGATTTCTTACCTCTTACTTCATTTATCTTACTTCATTTAGCAGACTAGGGTCTGCTGGTTTCAGCCAATACTCTGTATGCCTTGACAAATTAAGGATGGTTCTTTTAGACTCAATAGTGATCCTGAATTTTCAGCTTTGGCTCTGTTTTGGTTGCTGCCATCCCTGTCACAGCTCTGATTACTACAAGTTTAGTAGAAGTAGGTTTGGGTGGGTCTCCTCCTCATTAGCTCTTCTCTGTAGAGCTGGCTTCTTCACCGAGGACAAATGGATTTTACTTATCTGGCCCTCTTGAGCCTACTCTCTGGGAGACTACAAAAACTTTCACTTCAATAAACTTCTCCACAGAGTATTCCACAGCCAAGTTCTGGCAATCAATGTATAATTCAGATTCTGTCTCATATAGTATAGGCCAGTGTGGTGGCTAGGATAGTCAGTTATTGTAGTCCTTGAGTATTGTGGTCTTTGAGCAGAAATGGCAGCTTATCTAGATGCCATTCTGAATGGAATAAGGTGAAGTATGATGGGTATGACTGCCTATCTGAAATTTTCTTTTCATCAGAAATTTGCTCCTAGTTTTCAAGTCAGAATTGGCTCTGTCAACCTCAGTGTTAGTTCCTGAAAAGATGCCAATATTGTCTTCCTTCCCACTCCTGATTAGCCTACCAGAAAAACAGATACCTTCTCTTTTCTTTTCTCCTCTTTTCTTTTCTTTTCCCTTCCTTCCTTCCTTCCTTCCTTCCTTCCTTCCTTCCTTCCTTCCTTCCTTCCTTCCTTCCTTCCTTCCTTCCTTCCTTTCTTTCTTTCTTTCGTTCTTTCGTTCTTTCTTTCTCTCTCTCTCTCTCTCTTTCTTGTGTGTGTGTGTGTGTGTGTGTGTCTAGGATTACAGGAGAGTAGCTAGGATCATAGGTGTGAGCCACTGGTGCCCAGCTAACTGCCTTTTTTCTTTAGGAGTTTAATCTTTCTCATAGAAATTTGTTCCAACAATGAATGCCTAGTTTTCCAAACCCTTCTATATTCCTTATTTTAATATCTCTGTGGAGTTCAGATGTATGTAGAGAACTTTGTTCGTTTTTGTTGTTATGTGATTAGAAATTAATGTTATTCTTTTGCAGTATAGTCATTTAAAGAGTATGAGTGGGGTGAACTGGCATCACACAATTCCTGATGCTAGACTTCAAATATACAAGAAAATATACAAGAAAACTCTTTAATATACAAGAAAAATATTAATATGTGTATATATGATTATTTTACTTTTTAATATACAAGAAAAATATTAATATGTGTATATATGATTATTTTACTTTTACCTCTGTTCTGCCATTTGGAGAATTTCAGAGGCGAGCTTCGGCCATAAGCACAGTAGATCTTCATGCTGATTTTTCCGAGTTCTCCAATTTGTATTGCAGATAGTCTTGACCATATATTATTCTATTTTCTGTTTTATACTGTGGGCCCTGGTTTTAGGGCCTTGTGCCTCAGCTGGTGAGGTTAGCTGCTGAGGACCTTCTCTCTTTTACCAAGAAAGATTTTAATTTGAAAAAGTGCTTAACTGAACCTCAGAAGTTTCACATATTTCCAGTTTCTGTTCTATGACGAAATTTCCATTTTTCATGCAGTCAGCACCAGATGCAGATTCTTTCTTCATTTCTTCTTTCTCTCTCTCTCTCTCTCTCTCTTTTTTAATCCTACCCTCTTCTTTCTCTTTTTATCAGTCATTTCATCTCCTTTCCTCAATACTCCTCTGATACTCCTGAAATAAAAAGTGCTAACTCTAGAGTTAGACCCCTTCAGTTGACATTCTGGCTCCAGAGGTTTCTGTGGGGAAGTTATTAACTTCCTATATGATTAGCTTATCTAGAAAATTATCTTCTCATTACTATCTATTCTATTTTTTTTGGGGGGGGAGTCCGGTCGTGGGGCCTGAACTCTGGGCATTGGCGCTGTCCCTGAGCTCTTCAGCTCAAGGCTAGCACTCTACCACTTGAGCCACAACGCCACTTCCGGCTTTTTTCTTTTTGCTTATGTGGTGCTGAGGAATCAAACCCAGGGCCTCAGGCATGCAAGGCAAGTGTTCTACCACTGAGCCACCTTCCCAGCCCCTACTATCTATTCTATAGGATTTTTTTTTGGGGGGGGGGGGTCCGGTCGTGGGGCCTGAACTCTGGGCCTGGGCGCTGTCCCTCAGCTCTTCAGCTCAAGGCTAGCACTCTACCACTTGAGCCACAGCGCCACTTCCAGCATTTTTCTTTTTGCTTATGTGGTGCTGAGGAATCGAACCCAGGGTCTCAGGGCCTCAGGCATGCAAGGCAAGCGCTCTACCACTGAGCCACCTTCCCAGCCCCTTCTGTAGGATTTTTGCAGATATTAAATAAACTAATGTATGTAAAACATCACCATCTGAGGTAGCACTATCTCTACAGAGGATAGGAGGACTTAGCTTGTCCAGGCTCCTCTATTTAACATAATGCAGATTTGTAATTAGTCTAAGCAACTGATTCTAGAGACTGTCCTTTTAACCATTAAGCTATCTATCTTAGGAGGTTGTTTTTGTTTTGGAAGTCACATTGTCAGGTTTAATAGTTTTATACATATACATATATGTGTATTTAATAGTTATACATGTGTATATATATGATAGCTATATATGCATATATTTAATAGTTATAAATATGTAACATGTATATGTATATGTGTAGACACACACAAACACACACACACATTTATTAGTGCGGTTTGAGCTTAAGGCTCATGTCCTTGCCTGGCAGATATTTTAGCACTTGAGCTATACTCCCAGCCCCACCTTAAACTTTTACTATTATTTTAAATAACTTCAAAATATTTTTTGAATGTAATTTCATTGTTATTGTTAAGGTGGTGTATAGAGGGATTACCATTGCACAATTCAAGAAATGTATACATCTTTCTTTTGGACAATGCTACCTCTTCCTTTGTCTTTTACCCTCCAAGGTATTTTAAAATATTTCAAAAAACTGTAATGTCCTTGAAGTTGAGGATGATGGTATAGATTAGTTATACTTTGGGCTTTTTCTGCTTATGTGGTACTGAGGAATCGAACCCAGGGCCTCATGTATGCAAGGCAAGCACTCTACCACTGAGCCACCTTCCTAGCTTTAGTTGTCTGGTTTAGCATATCATTTTGTTCTGCTGAGATGCTCTTTTATATATATATATATATATATATATATATATATATGTATATAATATGTATATATATATGTATATAATATGTATATATATGTATATATGTATATAATATGTATATATGTATATAGTATGTATATATATATATGATTCTATACCAACGTATATATTATCTATAGTCATAGAACATATTATACAAAGTATTTTGGAAAATGTCAACTAAGTTCAATACTATACATGAAATACTTTTAAAGCTGGTATGGTACCATATTTGCATTCATGTATTTTGAATTGTGTATGTCCACATAATTATTTTTTAGGTCTCATATGCAATGAGCACATTAAAGGGAAAAATATGATTCATTTTGTGTCCTTATCTGTTGACTCCTTGGTGACAAACCTAAATACTTAGAGTTATAGTTATATTTGTAGCATAATCTTGTCAATATGGACTCTGCTAAATCTGTTAAATTATTTCCTTCTGTGACTTTTATAACTCATCTGTAAAAAGGTCATAGGAGACTACATTGTTGAAGCTATAAATGATTTATTTTTTTCTACTTGAGAATACCCTGAGGCCAGTGTTCCTGTTTAACACAGTGTTTCTGCTTAATGTTTTAGATCACAGTTATTAGAAGTGGCATTGTTGAATTGATAAAGCCAATATATGAAATTCAAGGTTCAAACCCAAGGAAGATTATAATAGATAGTATACATTTACCTCATTTACCCAAGTGTTTTTTTTTCTCTGTAAGATATTTAGTGTGTTGAAGAAGAATAAAGAGAAAAAAGCTTAGTATGAAAACATTTTTCCCCGTGTAGCCAGTTTCTATTTACACAAGGTAATAGTTATTTGTTCATTCAATAATGAAGTTGAATAATCCTCCAGGGTACTCTTTTTACACAAAAACAAATTGCAGTTTTCCTTTGTGTCACTGGGTGGCGATTTTTCATAGTCTTATACTTCGGTTAAAAAACCCAGCAAGCATGGAGCTATTTGTAATTACCAGGGTTTTCTTCTGTTATGACATGTCTAATTGTACTTTTAACACATTATCTTTAAGTTGATTATAAATGTTGTACTATAGTGTGCAATCTCAGTTATTTTAAATTAGGAAAGTGTATTGCCTAGATGTTGGCATATCATTCCTTCTAAAACCAAGACAAAGGCATGAATTAGCTTATTATGTTAGAGGAAAATAGCAAACATATACATATAACTATGTATGTTTATGTACAAACACATACATATATATGTAATATATAATGGAAAAGAAATAACTAACATTGTTGACCAAATACTGAACGTAAGTTTGAAGCAGGAAGAATGAAATGGGGCAAGATATTACAGAGATGAAAGGAATTGGGTTACAGTATAACTGAAATTCATCATTTTTCAGAATATGCAGGTGTTTCTTAAAGTAGGACATCAGACTTCCAACTTCCATTAAGTTAATTATTTTGTAAAACTCTCTGACTTTAGAACCAGCTTAGTAATAACAATATTTAACAGATTTTATCTTTTAATTATTAATATTTTGA